CCATCTCTGTCCCAAGCATTGTTCCATCTCTGTCCCAAGCATAGTTCCATCTCTGTCCCAAGCATAGTTCCATCTCTGTCCCAAGCATTGTTCCAACTCCGTCCCAAACATAGTTCCATCTGTTCCAAGCAGAGTTCCATCTCCGTTCCTGTGATCATCAAAAGCCTCCCACTGCGCCAGGCATCCAACGGCCTCTAGTTCTGTCCGAAACATTGTTCCAACTCTGTACCAAGCATAGTTCCAGCTGTGTTCCAAGTGGAGTTCCATCTCCATTCCCATGGTCATCGAAAGTCTTCTCACTGTGCCAGGGGATCCAAAGGCTCTAGTTCGGTCCCAAGCGTTGCTCCAACTCTGTCCCAAGCATAGTTCCAGCTGTGTTCCAGCCAGAGCTCCATCTTCGTTCTGTGATCATTGAAAGCCTCCCACTGCGCCACGTGATCCAATGAGCCTCTAGGATGCCAGGGGATAAAAAAGCTGTGAACGTCAAACCCGATGACAAGAGACCCTCACCGGAAGACCTACACATGTCCCAACTCGTCACTCATGCCAGCCGACAACCAGCCCTAAATCTGTTCCAACAATTTCACTCATGCCAGCCAACAATCAGCACTATCCCCTTCTGCTTTCTCTACAGAGAGGGCTACACAACCCTTTGTGGATCATTCAGGCCAAACCCAGCCCCAGATAGAAACGCACCGACCTTCTGTAATTGGATTCCAAGTCTTAATGGTTACCTCCTGCCCCGCCCGGAGGCACGCCGCTAGGAACATCTCTGAGGACCTCCGAGGTTGCCGTATCATCCCGGAGTGATCTGCGGAACATGTAGTATACTAGAACCAAAAAGTGGTTGGAAGAGTACTTCATGCTCTCTGCAAAGAGCAGAGAGCAGACTGTGTCTTATTGATGTCCTTTGTCAGTCAGCCTGAGGCACTCTGTCATATCAAACTGGTCGCCTGAATACACATAATGAATTGGAAATGCCCACACACCTGTCTGCAGAAGAATAACCATATTCCTAATGAGAATTAAGCCCCTCCTACTCCCCCCCCCCCCCCCCCCCCCCCCCCCCCCCCCCACACATCATCAAACACTTTACACACACTCACACACACACACGTACGCACGTCCACAGACACATACACGCCCACAAATGCACGGATGCCCGCATGCACATGCACACCCACACCCACACATACACGAAGATTACTCAAAGCCAGGGAAGAGAGGAAAAAGCATGTGTGGATATGCGCACAAGTGTTTGTACCATGCTGCGCGCACACACACACACACACACACACACACACACACACACACACACACACAGATGCACATAGCCTCCAAATCAAATAGGCGGGAATAAGCAGCTGAGCCTTGCCTCAAGTGCAGACTGATGACTTAATTAGCTCAGACATACCTCCAAGATGTTGATGATACGTACTGTTGCAGACTATGACATGTTCGCAAGGACAATTGCAGCTGCCACATCTCAATTCAACAGGGATAGCAGCTTCCACACCTCATGACTTGATTGATTGATGCTTATATACATGGGAAAGTTGCAAGCCAGAAATAAGACCCACAAAAAATCTTCACCGATTCCTGGTAGACTAGCATATCCAGGATACCAGTTGGGGCCAAACAACGTCCCTGGGGACGAGTACTTGGGGTGGCATGCAAGTGGTGGGACCAAAGTGTGTGCCCACTACAGCATCATGTCTTATTTCCGCAACAACTGTTTCCCTCGTAGAATCGAATGAAATCGAACTCCTCACGTTCCTCTGCTAACAGAACTGAACAAAGTCCAACAAATGCTAAACCGAATACTGAGCTGGAAGAGTACTGACCCACCCAGCAGTGGAACAGCTCCATCTCTTGGGAACTGTTCCACATGGCGTGGCGTGTTGCCCAAGCCTGTGGCACAGGTACCAGTCCCTGAAATCCACCCAACAGCAACAGCAGTCCCGGTACTGATCCACCTAAAAAGTGAATAACCACCTGATTGTTGTTGTGGCCGGAAAAGTTCTCCAAAAAATGCTACACTCTGAGATCGATTACTAGAAAACTCGATAAGTATGGATGCAAAAACTGCGTCTGATGACACTGCCGCTACAGAGTCTGCAAGCATATGTACAGACTTGAAAGGGTACAGACTGTGGCCTCCCTCGCACAGGTAGACGCACGGTTTCAACCCTTGAGGCACAAATTATAATGCGGCAGTCCTTCAGTACACCAAGCGCATGTTTGCCAAATTGGTCAAGACTCAAGGGGTATAAGCAGACATAAGAAGCTGATCATTGTACAGTCTGGCTCGTTCTCAAGCGGTGAAGTCGCAGATACCATCACTGTTGCGCAGCATAGGGCTAGCCTGCCTCAGCACAGGACAGGCCTGCTTCTGCAGGGGACAAGCTGCCTCGGGCGAAGACCAGCCTGCTTCAGCACGGGGAGCAGGTCGCTAGCCTGCCACAGCACATGCAGACAAGCTGCCTCAGCAGAGGGCTAGCCTGCTTCGGCAGCGGAACAGGTAGCGAGCCTGCCTCAGCACAGGGGGACAACCTGCCTCAGAGGAGAGCTAGCCCGCTTCAGGAGCGGAAAAGGGGGCTAGTCTGCCTCAGCTCAGGACAAGCCTGCTTCTGTAGGGGAAAAGCTGTCAGTGGAGGACCAGCCTGCTTTGGCTATGGAGCAGGGGGCTAGCCTGCCTCAGCACAGGACAAGCCTGCTTCTGCAGGGGACAAGCTGCCTCAGCAGAGGACTCGCCTGTTTTGTTTGGCAGGGGACAAGCTGCCTCCGCTAGGGACTAGTCTGGTCCGGCAGGGGACGGGCCTGAGATGGCAGGGGACTAGCCTGCTTTGTCAGGGGATAAGTGGGTTCGGCAGGGGACTAGCCTGTTTCAGCGGGGGACAACTCTGCATCAGCAGTCGACTAGGATGCCAAGACTGAGCATATCGGCAATCTCCCAACAGGTAACAGGTGGCAGACAAGTCTAATATTCCCAAACTGCGGCAGCAGATCCAAACGCTCGCCTTCTGTCAAACGGGGCATCTCGCATACAGTTCTACATAACCAGTCAAAATGAAATGCTTGGAAACGAACCATGGGTATACCAAATAGAGCGTCTTGTAGCCGGCAAAAGGATACATATGTGTTCAACAATTAACCAATAATAAAATTTAAGCTGCATATGAGTGGATGGCCATGGACGGCTTTTCTCCACAGCAGCCGAATCCATCAAGGGCTTGTAGCAGTTACATGAGTGGATGAACCTTACGCCTGGACGGAAGCGACATCTAACTTCTTTGCACTGCAACACCTTGAGCCTCTTCTTCTCATGGGGACGGATTTCCTTTGGTCGTACGACTCCTTACGACCATCCTTTAACATGATCAACACCCTTGATGTCCTGCAGCAGCAGGCTGGTCCTGTGGCTGCAGGGGATACGCTGCATGTATGATCTCTCCTGTTGATTTGAGTTCGCCGCAAACCGGAACATGGCATTGTCGATGGTGACTGTACAGCTAGCTTTGTCAATCATCAGCGAATCCCAACCCCCCAGCAACAAGAACCTGGCATCATCTGTGATGACTACATCTTACTGTGACTTTTGGAGTTTACCACGTTTGAATCACGTCATCGCATTCCATCACGATTCCCAATCATGTCCGAATGCGCGATTGACCATTTTCTGAACACACAACAGTTGTTCAGCTCACCTGCCTTCAATGATGAGGGCAGGCAGCTCTATTCATCTCTTGTGAGGTGATGACCATTCAAACACTGTCTGCGTCGAGGTAAGAAAAATCATTAATGTGATCGTCCACACGTACCTCAAAGCAGCCAACGTGGGTCACCTTCTGCATGCCCTCTATGCCTCGCCCGTATGATCTTCTATGTGTCACTCCGCCTTCCATGCATGCCGACCAGCTGCAGATGAGCCCAAGCCATGCCACTTGGTAACAATGCGCAGGCATCAACAAAACACCACCTAACTCTCGTGCATTTTCTGAAGAACAGAGCTGTACCGAAAAGTTCTCCCCCAGTGATTATACTCCACACATCATGGCTTGACCAACCCTGATGCCGCCTCCGCCGCTTTCAAGGCAACTGTGAGCGACATATCTGCTTTTTCCTGCAGAAGCAGCACATTGACAACATGCGTCAGTCTGACAGCTAGCTCAAGTCCACACCAAGTGTACTAAGTGCACACGCTCATGGTATCTCCGATACAAATCTTAGGGCATACTCACACTGCTCTCTCCCCCTGAATAGAACGTGTGGTTATTGTATCTGTGTAACTTTCAGTCCAGACGCTGCGAAAATGACAGTACGTTCTATTCGGGTGAAGCCGGTAGTGGACGTAATTGTAGTTGAATACATCCCAGTCCAGTCGTAATTACGGTCAGGTTCATCCGGGGAAGTCCCAGTGTGAGTATGCTCTTAGCAACAAGCAGCCACATGTGAAACTGTGTGGGTTAATAACTAGTATTATCAACCATACGTTTGGTGCGCCATGCGCAAATTAGTGATGTGGCACAGATGTGGTCTTTTTTTTTTTTTTTTTTTTTATAAAAGAGGGGTGTGTGTGTATACAAGGGGGGAGGGGAGGGAGAGAGAGGGAGAGAGAGAGAGAGAGAGAGAGAGAGAGAGAGAGACGGCGCATTGGGGGGAGTGCAGCGTCTGTCTCTTATACACATCTAGATGTGTATAAGAGACAGAGAAGAAGATGTAGAAGAGGAAGAAGAAGCAGGTTAAGAAGAAAAAGAAGATTCAAAGAAGAAGAAAATTGAAGAATCTAAGTTAGAAAAGAAAAAAAAAGTCGAAAAAATGGAAAAAAAAAAACGAAGAAGAAGAAAAAGAAGAAGATATAGCGGAGGAGGAGAGGGCGACGACGACGACGACGGCGAAGAAGAAGAAGAAGAAGATATGATGGAGGAGGATAGGGCGACGACGACGACGACGATGACAAAGAAGAAGAAAAAAAAAAACAAGAAAAAAAAGTAGAAGAAGAAGAAAAAAAAAAAAAAAAAAAAAAAAAAAAGAAGAGGAGGAGGTAGAAAAAGAAGAAGTAGAAGACGAAGAGGAGGTAAAAGAAGAAGAAGTAGAAGACGAAGAAGAAGCAGGAGAAGAAAAAAAAAAAAAAATTGAAGAAGAANAGAGAGAGAGAGAGAGAGAGAGAGAGAGAGAGAGAGAGAGAGAGAGAGAGAGAGAGAGAGAGAGAGAGAGAGAGAGAGCAACGGATCCCTTTCACACATATCAAAGGGCCCATGCAGGCAATCTGAAAGGTCCTCGCAGCAAGACCCTCCACCGAAATCGAGGCAGGCAGTGAATATGAAGTAGAGCACGAGCTGGCTGCATATATACTCAGGATTCGGATTCAGGTCTGTGTTTCAGTAGTTATGGGTTGCTCACGCAGCCAGGCCCTGTTAGGCTCTGCACGTGATTCTCAGGGCTTGGCTGCAGTACTCATGAAATCTGCAAAATTAGAGGGAATCTTCTGCAGAACGTGGAATAATATGCCGCCATATGTTTTGTCTTTTGTGAATGTGGTGAGTAGAGGCCCTTAGGGCCACCGCACGTATTCCTAAGAAAAGAAAACGAGAAAAGAAAAGAAAAACGAGAAAAAACTTCAAAAAAGAGAAATAGTGACCCATAACTGAGAAGCACAGACCTGAATACGAATCCAGACTATATATTTTCTGCCCAGGCTTACAAAGTGGAAGTTTCAAGCGTGCCTCTGCTGCGCGTGGGGTCCTGGCTAAGTCGCTGTTGGGGCCCTTCGGAAAAGAGGCTGGACACATTTACGACATGAATACTCACATGCATAGACACGTGCCCACAGTTTTGGGGTATGCTGTGGCCACGACTTTTCTCCCTCTTGCTTTCTGATGTTTAGAAGCGAGGGAATGTTTGGCCACTCCACACTGTCCTTTCAATTTTTTTTATTTCTTTTGTTGTGATGTGCCGCATCACGTGCGTGCGCGTGTATGTGTGTGCACTCTGCGCCGCGTGGGCCACGCACCTGCGCACGGGTTGCGCCGCAAGTATGTGTCCATCCATCCGTTTGGGCCCATCTAGAGTAGAAGCTGCCCAACATTTGTGTTGTTGAGCAGGTAGTATCAACACACCCATCGTCTTAAACCACACAGTTCACGAGAGCCTAAGTTGACGACTCTACCTTCCAAGGCTCGCGAGCCTCCTGCTGCGCCTTTACAAAGTGGCCAGCCAGTTTTGCTACCGACCCAGGCCCAAATTGAAATGCTCTTACTGTGTATACCAGTAAAGGCCCTACTTAGGTTTGTGGCAGCCACTCTTCAGACACGGATCGTTGATGGCCACAACTTTCCGGCCCGGACCTCCATTGATAAATTTGATCAGCGGATGGGCAGCTCTGTCAGAGCTGCCCGGTAAACTGTAGGCAGAGAGGGAGAAAAGAGGACAACAAATGAGGCGCTGTGTAACTGTTTCGTATATATATCATCAAACAGAGCTGCCCGGTAAACCGTAGGCAGAGAGAGAGACGAGGACAACAAACAAGGGGCTGTGACAAACTGTTTCGTCGGAGTTTCACCGACTCATCAGGAGGCTGAACATAATATATATATATTGTCAAACAGAGCTGCCCGGTAAACCGTCGGCAAGAGGGAGAAGAGGACAAGAAAGAGGGGCTGTAACAGACTGTTTCGTCGGAGTTTCAACGACTCATCATACCATGGCTAGGATCCAGACCCCAGGAAAGGGATCCGGACTCTCCGGGATCCGGGATCCGTTACCACTTTCCATACTTTTTTGGGCCTTCGGCCACCGTCCGGAAGGGGTGG